CCCCCACACACACACACACACACACACACATTATAACACACACATTCTATCTAATTGAATATACAGTCTGTTTGGTTACCTTTTTACCCAGGGTAAATGGACTGTATTTGTATGTATAAGAAGTAGACAAAGTTGTTGTGATGTCACCTATTGGTTTGTGGACTGACGTTTTGAATGGTCATCGCCATTTTGACTTTTTTTTCCATCCAGTGAACGGATGTGACCATATTTGGCCTCCGGAGTAGTGACGGAAAGACGCCGTATATGGCTCTGGTAGCGGTGGCGACCTGTCAATCACAGTAAGCCCGCCTTAAAACATACTTTGCTTTATGGTCTATGTTACTCTAAATGGGACCATTATTTACTAAATTAATATTATGCTGTATTAAAGAAGATTTGAAAGTAGCGATTGAGAGCATAAACTCATATATACAATGATCATTGAGGTAATAAGTCAATTGAGAAGTAGGGTCATTTTTTCATAGACTTTCATACAATCTGACTACTTTTTGCAATCAGAGGAGTCACCCCCTGCTGGTAATTTCAAAGAATGCAAGTTTAAGACACTTCCGCATTGGCTTCACTCTTCAGAACCGGTGTTGCCGCCTGTCTGAGCCACAGAGGAACACACTGTGATTACCGCTAATGAAATAAACTGGCAGACTGAACAACACTACGAGAACAGTTCAAAATGTAATATGGATCGAATAAAAGGAAAAGAGGACAGGCTCATGTTTTCATCTGAAAACAATACTGACATGAAGATATGTACATTGAACAGGTTTTTAAGTCTAGAATGTAAATAATGGGGGACAAAATCCACAGTCCTCGTTCAGTGCAAAAATAAAAAGCTAATATGAGGCTTCAGCAGTCTGAATAGGATTAATCAAGAGGGTATCTTCAAAGTCCCCCTTTGTGTTAATATCCCACCGAAGACAATACCATGAAAGCACAAAGAGGGAATTTCACAGGACAAGAGACTAACTTTAGCTTCATTTTAGAACGTATTGATGCCCAAAATTAGGAGTGTGGATTTTGGCTCCCATCACTTTCAAATTACATTAGATTGAAATAATTGATATATTTGCCACAAGTATGGGCATGTGGAACAATGACAGCAACCCTGCAACCTTTTAAAGGTATATGTTGGTATGCAAATAATGTATTGAAATAGACTTAATAATGTGAACCGATCACTGACAGTAAACTCCCAGTGTGTTGACCAACCAAGGCTGACAAAACAAGAACAGTGTATATACGAGATAGATAGATACTGCAGTGTTTCTGTCCATGCATCATTATCTGTATTCAGCTGTGTCATCTAGTTTAATGGGACCAACAATCAATGTCTGTCAAGGTCCACATGAATCCTCTCCACATTAAAAAGGAACTGACACCCACCTCCCATCCCTTCTCTTTTCACATGGTATCCCATGTTGTTGTCTTCCAGTGTCTTGTAAAAGGGATTCACTCACTCGCTTGCTTGGGGAACAAACCTTTTTTTCTAATTTGAGCAAGGTGGATCTGACAGGTTATGACATATAGAAATATAGCACCCTTCACAACCAACCCACTGACCAAACCGAAAAATAATATTTGAGGTATCTGCAAAACAATCTCTCGGAGTAATTGGATTTTTAGGTCACATTTTTGTCTAAAAGAAATACATATAGGTACATGTATAGTACATTAAAAGAGCTCCTATCCTTTCTCTTGTCCATGCTGGCAGTGAAGGCCTTGTGCAACTACAGAGTAAGTGATACATTAATTTGTTTACTTTCACAGTCATTGTTCTGAACAAAAATTCTCACTAAATCCAGTGGGTCAGGCTAATTGTCAGTTGTGGTTTGATTACAAATATACTGCCCTAAATGAGCCTTTTGGAGTGCTGCAGGAAGTGTTGTACAGGGGTCATTTTTCTTTACTTACAACAGTCTGTCTGACACAGAAGAAAGAGAAGGACTCCAGCTATGCTAGCAGTGGCTCTAACACACGCTCGGGGCACTCAATGTCCCCACGAGGACCAGCAATGTTGAAAGTACAGGAAAGATATGGATTAGCTGTTTCTACTATGTTTCTGAATTACTTGGCTGCCAGAGAAACACAGCACTGTGCCAACATCCTCGTATCGGTCTTACTGAAGCTGCAGGAGCATTTTCATTAACCAAGGCTGATTCTCTGGATATTTTTTTATCATGAGGATAGTTCCTCTATAAGTAACATTATGTCCATCAGGAAAGGTCAATACTGATCTTACCTCCAACCGTTACACAACGCTCTGTACAGCCAGGTGTTCTGTGTGCTTGAATAGACTTTATTCCATCCTCTTTTCCACTTGTAAGACAAAAAAGAAAGAAAACAGCAACCAATGAACACAGAAAGCC